TGCAGAGCAGAGATGGACAGGCTCAGGGTAAGGGCTAGATGGGTAACAAAGAAAGACAGGTGGACAGCAACAGGCTGAGAGAAGGTGGCAATGTTTGTACATGAAGGTCAAATTCATTTTCACCCTCAGGATTTTGGTCACAAGTGCTCCCAGCAGCTGGCTTTGCAAGAAACAGAATGCTAGAGAGGGGCTTTGTGAAATAGGGCATCCTGTAAACAAAAAAAGGACATACAGCATCACTTTCCTCCCCGAGGGACAGTGAACCAAGACTGCACCACCTGACGGCATGGAAGAGAGAGTAGGTCATCTGTTCCAAAAAATACTGCACCACTGAGCAAGCTGGGCACATCTGCACGAAATGACGCTCCCTGCCTCTGCACAGCTGTCAGACACACGCAAACAAAACTGCCTTGGAGTCGCCAATGTCGCGGTGACTGCTTAGCAAACATGAAGAAATATTAAAGGAGTCAGATGCATTAAAAGATAAAAGGAGTAAAGATACATGAAGGGGGTTGAGAGAAAGCGCTACACTGACAGTCTGATGGAACTGAATCTCTTTAGCCCTGAGCCCAGATTCAGAATGTCAGCTCAGCAGATTTAAAACGAACTAGGAAACAAGAACCAGGGGACACAAGTGGAAATTGTGTAGAACCACATTTATAAAAGAACAAGGGTCGCTTCTTTAAACAAGGGGTTGTGGGAGTCTGAAACAAACTCCTTCTCCATGTTGTTGAGCACAATACACTGACTGCTTTCAGGAAATGACCAGATGGGGACCCTTGGATGAACCTTCTGAGTTTCTAATGATCAAACAGGCTGAACGGCCTCCTCTAATCTGTAACCTTTCTTATGTTTTCAGTAATACCATTCTGAAAAACACTAGTCACACTTACAATGTGTTTTATAAAACTGACACTTTATGAAGGAGCTTTTTAGTGACTTTTGTGAAGGAGCTTTTTAGCTACAAATAAAGCTGTTTTACCGAAACACAGCTATGAAGAAACAGTTTCGAACATGTCTCCAAAAATACTCACCTCCTACAGTCAGTTTGTGTAACACTGAATATAATTTTTCTATTACTGAATAAAGGAAAATACAAATATGAGCATACATATATATTCTCTACCGTCTGTTGGTAACTTAAGAGTGTGAATATATATCGTCAGGTAAATGTACTTAACGTGATATCCTCTACAGTTCTGGATGAACAGATCCTCTGGCCAACAGCTGAAAGTGTCAACAGCACAGAAACATGGGAACTAAAACTACCGCAGATGAAGTGCCTCGGGTTTCAAAGTATTAATCACAATCGCAGTGTAACATCATGTAAGGAAGAGTGCAAGGGGCTTTCTTGCATTAAGTCCTCAAAATCCGGCAACGAGCCAATAATTAAAGATCACACTGGAAGTCTAAAACAACAAACACAAAAGCAGAAGCCACCCAAAAAAGCACTTCTTAAATGAGGCACTTGTATAATGTCTCCAACATTGATGTACACACTTCTTAAATGAACTATATAAATGCATAAACTTACAGTTATATCGCAGAACCAGCTGCAGCAAGGGGTAGTGGCTTCTTTTTTGAAAGTTTTTTCAGTGCAATATTATTGTCATTTACAGAAATAAGTGGTTATAAAAGAAAGCCTCAACTTTGCTATTATTGTCCCTTGTGCTTTTTCCACTGGCAGAACCCTAATCCTTCCCAGTCAGACTCAAGTGAAACCTTTGGGAGCTTCTTAAGCCATGAATGTCTTTTTTGTTCATGGTATTCCTTCGCTTGGCTGGCAGAAAATAGGTAACTGGATTAGTGCGAAAATTCAGAGTAAAGTGAACTCCCAAACTTCTGTATAGCAAGTGCTAAGAAACTCAGCATCACTAAACACAAACCAATGGACTGTGATCTTGGAAAGACTGGAGATTAGGCAAGGTTGGGAGGTTAGACACTATGAACTGGGGGCTAAAATGTAAGATTCATAAAAGCAGTTAAGGGCTTATTAATGTGTGTAAGGAACCGTATTAATCAACTCAACTTTATTTTCCACTTGTTCACTGGAGCCCAATCTAGTACACGCAGGTGGTCTGTTTCTTTTCTCAGTAGGCTAGGCTGTGTAAAAAAAAGCCCACAAGCGCCCAGATGAAATAGCTGGCCAGCTTAAAAAGTGGAGCTGGAGGTGGACGGGGAGGGGGGTCACCACAATATGGAAAAAACCTCACAACGAAGACACTTGAGTTTATCCCAAAAACATGCCCTCCCCCTTCCCCAAATCTAAATTGAGCACTACCACTGGGGAATTTCTAATGAGGAACGGGCTGAAATCGAGGACCATTATCCTCATTTTTAGCGCAGGGAAGCGCATTAGGGGGATAAACATTTACTTTGTCACGGCTCGCTTGCAGGGCCGGAGCCCCGCGCCGTGGAAGAGCGACGCTGGGACTCTCCAGCGCTGCGCTCCGGCGCTGAGAGCAGATCCAGCGTTGTCAAGGCAGAGCTGCTGCTCAGGAATATCAAAGATGCTCGGGGAGCATGACTGCAAAGATGAGAGATCGCAAGGAAATAAACATGAAGTTTCCATCAGAAACGATCAGGCTCACGAGGAGCAAACACTCCATCCTAGCTGAGAGCTGAACACACACGTACACTCTGAGCCCCACTAACAATTTTCATAATTTCATGTATGCTTTGAGTATAACATTGTTATGCTGGATTTACCCTGCTCTGCCTTGTCAGTGAAAGAGAAACTAAATTTGCAGGTTTATTACTAATCTGTTGACATTCGCTGTCTTCACTCTCAAATTCGGCTTGGCAGATGTTTTCAAAAACAAGAATTCTGTCTTATTACAAAACATATTAAACAGTTTTCCCTGGCAGGCTTGTCTGACATCATGTTTATTGCCCAGACTAAATCACTCTGCTTCGCCCCAGTGCATGCCAGCTAGTACATTATTCCCCAGTTCAAGACAGATACAGTAAAAACCAATAAGGCAAACAGTTTGAGATCAACTCCGGACCTCAGCCCGCGGCCTGAGATCAGCACTCCGAACATCTCGTGTCAATCGCAATCCTTAAGATAAAATAAACTATCCCACCCTCAACTTAAAATATTTAATGCAAACTAACTGGAAGGGGGAAACCAAAACATTATATTAACCTTACATCGAAGGGAGACAAATTTCTGGCGTGGCAATTGTGGGTTTTCAGCTGTCTGCTGACTGTATGCCGCGCTTTAGAACAATGGCAGGAACCGTTCTGACTGTTATGAAATGACTCCAATTAACTTTTGATTACGCCGAAGCTCTTGGTCCGGCAGAAGTAACCTATCTCATTAAAGCCTGCCAGGCCTGAAACAATGCTCCTTAAGACTTTTTTTTTCCTGGAGCAACACAGTGAGAAATATCAGGGGACAGAGCCATACAGCAGCTGGGAACTGGCCAAGTCGGCTTCTTTTTTTTTTTGCTACCCGAGCAGTTCAAGTTCACAGCCAAGAGGAAAAGAAAAATAAATATGCGGCCCATTATGCGGTACCTGCTGTACAGCGTCAAGGATGTTATCTTTCTCTTCTGCAGACTTGTTTTGAAGGCCTAGCTGAGGAAAAGCAACTCTCCAGCTACAGGTAGAGAAGGATTAACCACAGCGTCATCTGTGATTTCTGCTTATTCTGACATGTTCTTTAATGAATTAAACGATACTTAGGGTCTTACATCTCCCTCTAATGGAAAACACACAAGCTGAAGCAACCAGCTCTTGTCTGCCTTGTATCTGCCTACCATGTATAATGTATAGTATGGAAAGCAAGCAGAAGCTAATGTCAAAGTGTGAATAATACTGTCTGCCCCCTGCAGAATTGGAAAACCTTGGGTAGCACTGTTATAACGATCTCACGCTGCTAGCATTACAAAGTGCAAAGGTTCGCTGAGAAAGAGAAAAAGGAATAGTGAGGGGCTGAGCCTCCTCATTATATGATTCCTGAGATATTCCAGCTTAAATATTTATTAAGATATTAATATCTGCTCTTCTCTTCATCTTCTTTCAGATGATATGCTCGTGCAACTCGAGACAGACAGGAGGAGAGTGGTGACCGCAGATCGTAATATGTAAATAAATGAAAATTAAATTAAGAATATATATATATACATACGGCTCAGGTGCACATTGTTCTTTTTTTTCTCTGACTTCATAAACGCGATATTGGTAGGCTGAGATTTATGGTTTGACAAGCCAACATGATGATAAAACAGCATGCAAATGTATGTCAAGCTGCAGTGTGGCAGAGTTAACAAGTGTCATATTGCCAAGGCTTTTACTCTGTAGGGTCTTTTTTTCAAGTTGTGAAAACTTTTCAGGTATTTTTTTTTTTGCCTTAAAGCAATCTCTGACACAGTAGCTAGGCAACCTTCAAGACGGCTGCTGCAACTTAAATTTTAAAAAGCAGATGCCATCGTTAGCTTCCAGGGCTGAAGAGATGATCATTTAGCTAGCTTATTCAGGCTCAAGGAAGCCTCTGTCAAGTTGGGAAGTGCCTGCAATATAAATTTTGAAAAGCAAGAGTGGAAGAGGGTGCAAATAATTGAGATAATTATATAACATTATATTGCATGCAAAACAGTCACTACCAATACTGACAGCAAGTAGCCTGCACTGACAACCTCAGACCATGTACAAGCTTGCTTGCAATTAAAACTTTCGACTGGGTATGTGAAGTCAGGCAGGGCAGCAGCTATTTTCAGACTGAAACTTTTAGAAATAAACTTCAACCCTATGAAAACAGACAAACGAGAATACTTCATCAGCTCCTAACATTTTGCACTTTTGTCCTCCACCTTAAAAAAAAAAAATGTCCCTCCTATTTACGGCCCCCAGCCCTCTGCCCTGGTGGACCAGGAGGGGGCGCTGCCTGCTCTGAGGAGGGGCCGGAAGTCCCCGTGGCGAGCTGGCTGGGCGCGGAGGGCGGGCGATGGCCTGGGATGGGCTCCTGTGTGGGCCGGGATGGGCGCCTCACTCACCCGAATGGGAATCTGCTCCGTCTCCCTCTCCTTCTGCGGGTTGCGGTACTTCTCGTAGAAGTCCCGGCGCCTCCGGGACTCTCGCTCGTCCTTGCGCTCCCTCTTCTCCGCCGGCTCGTCCGAGCTGTCCGGGGAGGGCTGCGCCGGCGCGCCGGGCTTCTCCACCTCCAGGTAGTTCTCGTTGGGGTTCAGCACCATCACCCCGTGGCCCTCCTGGGTCACGACAGGAAAACAGGGGATCAGAGAGGCGGCGGCGGCGGAAGCGCAGAGAAGAGAGGGGCCTGGTGCCAGTGCAGACATCTGACTGCTAGTGATGACTAAGGCTGTGCACCATTACTGGGCAAAGCAGAGCCAGAAAAGCCACTGTTGATGGTCTACAAAACGCTGCTTATGTGAACTATTAGGAGAAAGGATTAGCCAAGCAGCGACAGGCACCTCACCCCACGCTGCGCATTACAGTCTGTGTTTGCAAAGGGCACATGTCAGCTGCTATCAAACACAATCGATCCTTCCATCAGTCAGCCCTCAGATACAGAAACGCAGGCCTGTGTGACAACCCCCCGTGTAAAAACTGTATAAAAACAAACAAGAGGTGGCTAAACCAGGATGATGATGTCAGGCTGGACAACTGTGCTGACAGAATTACAGTACATTGTTACCCTGGAATTATGTCTGCTACACATGTGCTGCAGCACCACCTCCACACCAATATGTTGCACAGATATAACACACACACACCTTGTATATAATTTGGATTATATATGGGTAAATGCAAATACAGGTATGTTGCCTAATACATATTTTACCATTTACCACCTAGTTTCTAAATTAGTGTACCTGGGTGTCATAAAATATTCAAACTTTCCAGTGGGGCTCTTACAGACAGAAAAACCTTTATCATTTCATTTGTTTATCAGCTGTTGACATTTAAAAGGACTTAAAAAAACTCACGGCGTGGACTAATGCACAACCATTTTGAAAACACTGCAATAAAACCAGTTAAAAGTCAAGTGAATGTTGATACTTTGATTATGATCTTCATTGTACTGCTGATTGCAATCCTAACTAAAAAAAATAGATGCTGTCCTTTCATACTTCGTCTGCTCCATTCGAACTAATGAGACGGTATCACCGAAGTGCATCCCAAATTCATAATCAGACTTTCAGTCGGGCTCAAACTGCTAACACTGGCTGGGTAACATCCGAGAGCTCTCTTTCTTCCCCGTCTGATAAGTGTGAGAACCGTGATTCCTGTTTGTAAAACCACTCGTTCACACTAAGGGTTCTGCAAGGGCGATAAAATCTGGTCTTCATGATACAGCACTATCACCGAATTTGTGTTGACATCAGAAAAATAACACATTCACAGCTCCAGTGATTATAAAATTATAGATTTCTCACCTTCTTTCATAAATCCAGAAGCAATTTTGCTCTTTATTATAAATCTATTAAAATGAAATTAAAAGATATTAACACATTAAACCGAATAAGACTAACTTACCACATAAACTACTGAACAGTTTATTAGCTTTTTCAAATATCTTCTTTTAAATTTCTATATCAATCATTTCCAGCATAGATTTTAAGATTTTCTAAATGGTTCTTACTGCAATTAGTGGCACTGAATGTCCTTTGTCTATTTCACTTTAAACATTTCTTTACACAATTTCCTTAGTAAATCAGAACTTTTTAATGAAAAATCTGAATTGCAGTTTTTTAGCTTTCTAGAGAAATGTGTTTTAGAGATAATGTTTGTATCTGAAGAAATTTAAACATTAATAGAAACAAACTACAACTTCAAATAAATTTATGGTTATATGGCAATAAAAATACAAAGTACATTTTAGTTACTTTTTTCTGGTTTGACTATCATAGCTCATAATTAAACATCAACATTTCTTGTTCTCCATTTTAATTTAATTATACATGTGACACAAACCATTATTAAAGAAAGAAAAACACGTTCGTGGTAAGAATATTCGTTTCATCAGGCTCTGTGTTTTTTCCACATTTTAATCTCAATGCCAACCACTCCACAAGTAAATTCACAAAAAAACGCACATTAACAATTAATAAAAAGCCTTTTCATTATTTTATTGCTGCTTCCACCCAGAAATTTTCACTGCGATTCAATAATTAAAAAAAAAAATGTTTGCTTTAGCCAACACCTTTGCAATTATTCGGACCGCGTGCTGAACAGGGGGCTGAAAAATAAATAACTGTGCCTGTGATTTTTAAAGGTTTCCTATTAAAGCCATAAACGCAATCTTTCATTTTAACAAATGATCACGCCTCACAGTGCAGACTGTTAATGTCCTTTTTCTCATTTGTTGGCAGCACAAAGCGCATGCATTAAAAGAGTATTAAACACCTTTCAAGGAATGCCTTTATTCATGTGCTCGTCCTTCCTGAGCTTTTTTAAACATTTGATCAGCCTGGGGTTCCTTTGTTAGCAAATGCGCTGGAAAACTTGGACCACGTCTTTCCCATCACATGCTTTGTGCCACTGCCCACTGGTGGCAGCCTAGATAAATGACTGCCAGGGTCCGCTGTCATGCATCAACTTCAGCCGCCCGAGCACAGAGCCCCGCCGCGGCTGGCTGACTTGTAGGCGTTGCTTCCCAACTGTGTGAAAACTTTATTGGAGTAACCTTTACCACGCTTTGTCAACCCGAAGCAGATTTGTGCTTCACAAGGTCTCGTTACTTCATTACGGGTTTCGGCTACGGGGCCGCCAAATTGCCGGTATCGAGGCCCCCTTCCGCCACACGCTGTTCACTGCCAGAGAGGGGGCAACGCTGGCCACCTCGCCGGCGTTTGTAACACAACGGGGCGAAAAGGAAAAGCTGAAGTAATAAAATAATACTCTTAAATAGGCTGGTGGTGGTGGGGGGGGTACCACAAACCAGCTAACAACCACGCAAACTGCTGGAAGAGCCCTGTGCACTAAAAACACCGACCGCTCCAAATGCCAAAGAGAAGCTGCAATCCATCGGGAGAAGAGCAGCCTACTGTACAGAAAGACAAAGCCAGCGGAGATTTACGCCGCGCAGAAAGTTCCTGGCGATTACTGTGACACAGCAGAAGGGTTTAAATGGCGCGGGTCACGGCTTTAAGGAGGCAGATTCTTTTGTTTTTCCTCTTGCGTTGCAGGAAACAAAGTGACAAAGAAGAAAAAGATCCAAGACTGACTCGCAGCAGGCATATAAGCCAGCTTCCAGGCCACATATGGTAAGAATATTTCCCATTAAATGGCCTACATTTTGTTTATTCTTAAATTATGATGAATCGAGCTGCAGTTATTGTTCGATGTCATGTGTCTGGAATGATTCTAGCAGTGAGTCCCAGCTCCTGTCCTGTCTTGAGTGAAGGGCACACAGGGATATGTTTCCAGCAGCTCCCAGTGTGACCAGCGAGCCCCAGCCCATCTCCCCGAGCGCCTCTTACCAGTGTTCACACACACACACACACACACACACACACACACACACACACACACGCGCGCTTCCCTGCCCCTCTTCCCAGAGCGGAGTGGACAAAGCCCTCCGCTGCGGGCCGCGGCCCCCGGACCTCCGGGCGTCGGAGTCAGGCCGGTGGTCAGCGGGGGTCATCTCGGGTCCCGGACGAGGACAGGCCCCGATGCCTCTGGTCACACGGGTAAGCGCTCTTTTGTCGCCCTGCCCTCACCCCCCCCAACCCCCTTGGCAAGAGACGGACCCCTGCTCTCCTCGAGACCCAAGCCCAGCACAGCGCGGGGACCCACAGACGCGGCTGTCGGCCCCCTCGACACAAACACTAAAGGAAGCAGCATTACTACAGGAACGGACCATCGGCTTCCTACACTCACGGCCCAGTATTCCCATCCTCGGCAGTAGTGTCGCACTGCCGCTACTCAAGAACAGGAATAAAAGCAGCACAAACTCCGTTCGCCTTTTCATCCAATCTACCCTGGCAGAGCGGACAGCTCACGTGAGCTGAGCGCCAACACACTGGAAGTCACTTGGAATATTTCTAGAGCCTTTGGAATTACTTAGGCTGGCGCAATGAGGGGGAATCACACCCTTGCATATTTTCCCGTCATTAACTGCGGGTGGGGGCAGTAATAAGAATAAACAGCTGCAAGTGCCGCTATTCACAAATATTTGCCTTTTCCCATGAAGCGCCGTTAAAGTTTTTGACAAAGGGGGCTTCAGGAGTGGGAAGACTCACGGGTGCGCTTCTGTCGCAGAGCTGTTTTCCGGGGACTGCGACAGCCAGCGTCCTACCTCAAGCTCTGCCGAGGGGCCGGCGACAGGAGCTGCCCTGCCAGGTGGGCGCTGTGGCCGCACAGGGAGGGGAAGGGGGGTGGGCGTGGGTGAGGGGGCACTGCGGGGAGAGGATGGAGCTGGGGGGGTCTGGGGGTCGCAGATCTTCCATTTCCTGACAGCGGGCCCTGGCTTCCTGTTCTCGCCGCGCTGGCTGTTGATTGGCAGCTGTGCGCTGGCAGGCACGGGGCAGAGGGGCGACCTCTCCCCCGCCAGCCAATGAGAGGGGAGACGGGAGACGCAGCCTGTCTGCAGGCAAAACGGGGGCTTAGGGATCTGAATAGGGAAACACAATCAAAGCCTCAAGGTATTTGTGAGTGAATGGTTTTCAACATGGATGATGGTTAAAAAACACGCACACACACACACACAACAGCGGAGCGCAGACCAGGTTTCAGGAACGCGTACTGAGCGCATTATCAGCCTCGTCCTTTCACAACCTGAGCTTCACCAGGGGACGGGACTGTGAAAAGACCCAATTAAAAAGCACAAACGCTTGTCCGAGGAGCAAAACCTAAATACCGTAATATAATATCCAGCCCTCCTCTCGTCAGACAGCCTGCTCAAGGCCACCACCTCCTCCGTAACCTTGTCTGTCAGAGCTTCTCTCTCCGTGGCTTTTTCAACAGGCAAGGCACTATTATTCCTTCTTTCGTATACTGGAAGACTTGGACTCCTTGTCAGAGACCTCCCCCAGCCAGCCTGCCCTTTCCGCACTGTGTTCAGTGGGGGAAAGGAAGAGGAAAATGTAGCCTGAGCCTGAAGTATGAATATGTGGAGCAGTAAAATGTTTCGCGGGCGCTGACACACAATATCGTTGGATATTCACATCCACAGCTCTGACCGACAAATTTCTGCACTATCGCAACCACTCACGATGGTTTATGAGCTAACTGCAAAAACGCACACAAGCTTTTCAATCTTTCCTTCCTATCCTGAGAGGAACCAGAAAAATAAACTTGCCAAAAAAATTAACATTTTTTGATGTATTCATTAATTTATTAAAACAATAGATTTCCTATCACATTTTTACCTTCAAATTTCTTGTTTTTCACAGGGTGTAAATCTGATGCTATCAATTGAAAAACAGACATAAACAGGAAAAAAAAGCTTCTTAGAAAAAGCTATCTAGCTTGAAAAGCCCACGAAGGGTTCTCTTTAGAAAGGAGAAGATTGTGCAGGAGATTTAAAACCGCAAGAAAATCTTAAATATCCTTTAAAAAAACACTGAATAAATAATAAGAAATAATGATTTTTTTTGACAGATTGTCTAAAACACAGCACTTCGGTTTTTACACATAAAAGTTCACAAGGTTTACCACGTAACTTTTCTGATATACAGTTGTGATAAATAAAATATACAGGTTGGTTTGGTGCACTGTAACAGGTTTGCATTTCGAACAAATGCCTGAATAAATCTCAATTCATTTTTGGGTGAGTGCATTTCGTTAAAGTGAGCAAGTGAGACAAGGGGAACACGCAGCCCTGCTGAACACAGGCAGAGACCGCAGACACTTCTCAGACTCTGTCTGCTGGCTGGACCGCAGCCCCCTGCTCCCTCTCCAGCCACAGACCAGGCCACGTGAAGCTAACACGGGAGTAAAAACCTTCAGACGGAAACTGAGAAATAGAAATATACAGACACACCGTTTATATACAACAGGCCAAGTTACAAACGCGTAGTAGTAAAAAATCTTTTGAAATAAAAAAATACAATAATGTTAGTAATTCTGATCAAAACTGGTAAAACACCACTTGCACAACGTGACCAACACATTCCCTCAGAATTGCGTTAGCTACCATTTATTTTCTGTTTTACTGTTTTTTAAGAAGCGTCCAAAATAAACGCAAAAATCCTCATGTTACATGCTCCGGTCTCCCAGCAGATCCATGTGCATTTTCTGTGAGGCTGCATTTTTCTTCTGTTTTTGGAAGGGGGTGGGTCACTGGTACTGGTAGAGGTGCTCATCCTATCTGGAGTATCCAAGGACAGCAGCAACAGTGACGTAATGGTTTCAATAAAGACATTTTGGGTCTGAGCATTTTTTGCAGCCTTTCTTGCAAGAGCTGATTGCCCAGAACCGGTGGGACAGCCCTCTCCTCATCCATCACCTTGCCTATCCCCCATTCTCCAGCAATTTGTACTTGATTTTATTGAAGAGTCAGATTAAGATCTGTGTTTAACAGCAAGGTTGTCCAGTCCTTATCACCTTTCTCTCCTGGACACAGATACACTCTGTGGAGCTTATCTCCCAAGCTGATACACTACGTCAATACCTCATGTCCCAAGCCCAGTTACACTAGACCCAACCTCTATTGCAAATGGTGATAAAGGCAATATTAGCCTTGTCCCTAAATACTGGCAGCATTTACTACTCTCAGAAGCCACTCTCAGGAACACAAACACACAGTGGACTATGATAATACATCATCTAAGCAACCGGTGAGCTAAGTGATATCTCTTTTGGCTAATATTTATTTTTTATGCTTCTCTCGGGAGGCACTTGGGATATAACTTAAATACACTTTAACAACAAGTGTTAACAACAATTTCAGTTCACTAACTTCAGTAATGCACGGGGAATATTTGCTGCAGCTGAGTGCTTTATTTACTGGCTAAGTTGTAAAAGCAACGTCATTATTCATGCATTTATTATGAAGTTACATATGTTACAGAAACCCGAAGCTTAATCTATTCTCTACACCAAAGAGGAGACTGGATCACATAAATCATCGGAGAGGTGAAATTTGTCAAAGGCATTGATTATGTAAGTAAATATTACACAAATCATTTGTCAACTTTTATAGGAGGACAACATGTCAATTGTTCACAGTAACATCTCCGCAAACAAAGAACTCAATTATACCTGTAAAGCAATTTCACTTAAAAAATACCTACATTGCTTATTACTAATAGTGTACTTATAATTCATATGAAGAATACGATGGGCCCTTAAAGTATTTAATTAAGGAAAGTGAAACAAGACAATAACTGAAAATGCCGACGAGGAAAATGGGGAGGCAGGCCAGACTGGCATAAAATAAACCTCTAATGGCCAAGGATTACAATTTCAACAGTCCAAAAACTGTGCTTAAAAAAGATTTAATCTGATCTCTGGTGAGGGTCTTTTTTTTATGATGACATAAAATAAAGATTATTAATTTAAGACCTCCAGGTATCTGATTCTATTTGCGGTAAAAATCTGTCTGCCAAGCAGCATTATTTAAGCCGTGCTGTTTGTTAAGAAAGTAATCCTCATCCTATTAAAGGCAGCACACATGCAAGATGTTAATATAAACAAGACGAGCTTCCTTAGGGTGTTGACATTTGTTTTTACTGTACCTCAACACAGACATGCGGCTTGTACTTATCTCGCACTAAATAAAAGATCACAGCTCACAGGAAACAATAGGTGCAACAGCAAGAAAAGACGAAATCCTGGAGTAATGCACGCACACAAAAGAAACCCTCTATTGTTATGCCTTAAGCATTTTGATTTATATTTCTATATTGTTTCCCTCAGCTTACACATACATTTTTAATGAAGGAGAGCGGAGATATAGATCATAGAATGATATGTGCCCCCGTTATTCTTGTCCAACTATTTTATATATAAATCAAACCCCCGTAAGCACGACAAAAGGCGTCAATCTAATATTGAGCCACATGCAAATCACTTTTAAGCAAACACCTTTTTCCGGCTGAGGCTGGGAGGTTGGCGTGCTCGTTGTCATCCAGTTGGGGGAAATGTGGGCGTGTTTTTTAATGACTGCGGTCAAAGACAAATGCAAAGCAGATACGCAGGCAGACTTCCACAGCCAAGGCACACGGTTTGGAACGAGAGTCCCTGATTCCGCCAGGGATGACGCCCTGCCAAGGGGTCACCCCCCCCCAGGTGCCTGAGGCTTCCCACAGGGCTCCCTGCCCCGACACGGACAGCTGGAAAAGCGCTGCAGCTTTTTCTGAAGCTATTGAAACACATTGATATTACTACTATTATTACTGTTACTATTATTATTATTATTACTACTACTATTATTAATATTATTATTCCTATTACTGTTATTATAGCAACATCATTAACAACAATAATATTACTGCTGCTGCTCCTGGTCCTTGCGATATCGCCCAGCAGGCAGATGGAATGGATTTCCCGGATGTGGAAAAGGAGCGGGACGCCGGCACGCCAGCTCGGCCTTCCACCGTGCTACGGCACGCCGCCCCTTCCCTTCCCCAGCCCTGGTCCTGCCGCCTCCTCCGGCAACCATGACGCCACGAGAGGAGGGTGTCGTTATTCAAACAGGGCCTTTCCGCGATGACGGCAATATCTGGGGCTTTACAATCCGACCCCTCTGGGTCCCGAGCGTCCGCACAGAAGGGAACTACAGAGCCTTCCAAATAACACGTTTGTTCCACTTAAAAAAAATAAACCTAATAATTCCTAATTCCTAATAATAAGCAGGTTAATGACACTCGGCAAGGCTGCGCTGTTTTCTGCATACTGGACGGTGCTGCAGTAGTGACGATAAGACATCAGATATTCCATGATCACAAACGGCACCTAGGCGTTTATTTGGCCCTTTTGCTGTGCGAGGATGGGGAAAACCGGGATATCCGTTTTCACGAATGAGGTTTTTCTTTCCGTGGGATCCACCCCCCAAAGCAAGGTGGCGACACCAATAACCGTTTCACAGCCAGCTCGCAGAGCTTGTTTCTGCAGGATCTTTGTGCCGAATCACACTGCCTCGAGCCTGTGCGATGACCTTTCCATGGGACTAGTTCATGGACGAGTGGGAACAAACATTCAGCCTTGAATACAACATTCACAGCACATGTGGTTTATTTCAACATATTCCAACTGCTGTGAACTCAATGTTTTAAGATTATGATTATAGTATTATTATTATTATTATTATTATTATTATTATTATTATTATTAAAGGTTCCACAGCCTTGTGTTTCTTTTGTTCTCTTTTCAGCATGGAATAAACCTTTACTTGTTTATTATTATTATTATTATTATTATTATTAGCATTTGATCCATAGTTTACTAATGTCCTAAGTAGAAGTAATTCTATCAGAAATGAGACTTGTAAAGCAACAAGTTAAACTGTATAATCTGTTGAACTGTACAATCAGTTCTTCAATAAATTTATCGCATGTAAACAATTTTGAGGAGCGACTTAATCTGCCAAGTAGTGTAGCTCACATCACACACTACAATACCATAATGAATAATAATTTGTGATCATTTTATTTGTCCAGAATTTCTAAAAATGAAAATCTATAGATCTTAAACAGTATGTAAAAAAATAACAACTTTTTTTTTTTTTTTAATTAAAAAAAATATATGAAAACACCATAAGCCATTAAAATTTAAATTTACTTACTTAGGAATAGCAGATTTCATTCAATAAAATGTTCCTGACCTGGAAAAGCAGCATTCTTAGAATTAGCTTTTGCCCGTCTAACAGCACTGCTATGTAATACATTTACTTTGTTAAAAAAAATTAAAAATAGTGTTAATGGATGTAACCAATTTACTCAAATGGATGTAAATAAAAAAACATTTGACAACATTTCTTTACTATATATCTTGATAGAAAAGGGCCTTAAATATTAAATTAAGCAGTATATGCACACTTCTGTGCAAACAGACACAGCATTATTTGATCTTACAACAAGCTAAACACACCAAGGAATTTCTGCTGCTCAAAACCAGATGTCTGAAATTGAAAGTACATCCCAGTTAATCTGGACTGTTAGCCGGCAATTTTAAGGTCAATACCATTCTAAAATATTTCAAGCAAATTTGATATCCTTTTTAATCTCCCATGCCAGAGCAAATGAATAATGAGTTGAGAGCGTCCAGGCTGGGGGTATTAATCTTGCTACATACTGTGCCCCATGTGACCACAAAGGTCAGGGGCTAAACTGGAATCCCTTGACCTCTGTCCACCTCTCTCGGCCAGCAAGTAAGGGCTGGAGGGAGATCGCTTTCCTTGGGTTGATCTCTGCAATTTTTCCAAGTTCAGCACTCCAGTTTTTTTTTTGTCTTCTTTGGGAAAAGGCTCGGCCCCGGACGATTCCCGGCAAGCCCAGAAGGCCGAGCTGGCGGACAGGACTGCTGACCCTACGGGCCGGTCTGGTGTGGTAGGTCACAGCGCCGTGGGCACGGCAGGCAGGTGAGGTCACGGCAGCCAAGCCCGAGGCTCCGCCGAGGCGTGAAAGCACACACAGCGGCAGCTCGGCCCGAAAAACACCCCCTGCGTCATCCGAGCGATTTTCTCAAAGACGTGACCTGAGAAAGAAGATCCCCGAAATGTCGGGGATGTGTTGTGGTGTGTCCGGGAGCGAGAGCGCGTGGGGTGTATTCGAACTGCGGGACACGCACGGGCGTCCTTATGGCACAGAGCCGGGGGCCCTTCTGGCAGCGCCACCGCTCCAGCAAAAATAAAGGGACAAAAATAATAACAAAAGCAATTGTCCTCAAGATTTTGAGTGCCAGGCCAATAGCCCTTTACATAAAACACACAAAGTAACACTGTACTCACATGAATCAAATGCCACCTCTTACTTGAGAAGCAAGTAAAAAAAAAAAACTTAAAAGCAACTGTTCCAGGAGGCAGGAAGAGAAAGAAAAAGAAAAAGAGAAGTATGGGAGGACCACCTGTTGTCTATTATTTTTACATACTGCTTACTCATAAATCATAACACAGGGTAATTAATCAAGCTGTCAAAAAGAGGGTCAGGGGTCACATGCTGGGGTCAGGGGGTCGGGGCTGGGCTGATAGAGGTCAGGGTCACACTGCATTCCTCATTATCAAGTTGGGATGAGAGAGGGCCCGAGCAAACAAAAGCGAAAGCAGATGGAGAAGGACGGATGAAAGAGAAAGAAAATTTGACAAAGAAAAGTGAAAGAAACTGTCAGCCGCGTGCAAATGAAGACAGGGAACCAATTCGAAGAGGTGGCTGAAAAGAGACAGACGAAAAAAAGACTACAAGATGTTTCTGCGGTAAAAAAAGCAAAACGGGCACAGAGAAGTAGAAGCACTTGGAGGATTTTTTTGTTCAAATAAAAATGTTAGGAATCAGCTGTGGCTCATGCGATTGCGATCAGTTTGTTTCGCTGTGGAAGGGAATGACAAAGCACCAGGACGGAGCCCTGTCTGTGTGCGGTATCGCTTCAAAAACCAGAGAGATGGATATTTAAAGACAAAAAGGCCATTTGAGCCCTGTCCAAGAACGCTAGACAGCTTGCAGACATTTCTGAAAGCCTTCTCGTTAAATGTCAGCGAAGACAGTCTTAAAAATTAATGTTTTACATTATCTAACAAGGATTTTACAAAAGTCCATGCAAAACAAAGCCTAATTTTGTCCTGTATTTCATTATAAAAAATGCTCATTTTGTAAAAAACAATTGGAATGCGCCACTTACATTATTCTTTTTTAACCTGAATGCATCTGAACTACATTCCCTCACAGAATATAGTCTCTCACACACTGTACGCGTGTATTTTTTAAACTTAACTTTGCATTTCTCCGGTTTGCTGTGATTACAGCTTGTTTATATACTATCAAACATACACAAAACTTATGTGACAAGAATGACAAATCACATCAAAGGCAATAAAGCTAAACCTACTGAACCACCACCAAATTTAAATTGTTCGCTTGAATTATTGAAATTTAGGTTTGAACAATCAAGGGGAAAAAATGAAGAGCAAGCAAGATAAGGCAGGGAGAAAACAAATCTGCTAACATACACACATGCATATTTACAGCACTGTTTCTTACAGTCCGGCACAACTGGGCTTCCAAATGCGCACTGGAAAATATATTCTATAATAACGCCTCTGCTGGATTAGATGCAGAATACTGTGCAAAATTAGCTGTCACCCTTTCCTCAAAATCTTTGTTAATCTTATTTCCAGTGTTTGCAGATTTATCAGCACATGCATCAATGTCAGCTCCTTGGTTACTGAGCCGCAGTACTTGGGAGAAGATATAATTAAAATGTTTTGGCACAGAAAAGGTGAAACTGTGTCTTCCCCTATTCCCCAGGGAGTCAGTAAAACATGTAGCATGTAATGACAAACACTCTTGTCCAAAGCCATGACAATCTAGGTCAGCGGACTGCTTCTTGCTTAATGACATTCGCTTTGCACTTATTTGCACTTACACATACTGTCTCCAGCATGTGCACTGAACTTTTAATGGGCTTTTAACGCAAGAACCGAGAGAGAAAAACTTCCACAATTCCATTAAACCTAACATTTTAAGACTATTGAAAGTTTTACTGATATAAATTGACAACTTATTATTAGTAGTAATAGCGGTAATAGTGGCCCTAAATGTGAAAATAGTGCAATTATAAACTGCTTTGTGGTATGACCTTTGTAAACAAGAATACAGACATATCGATTCCAGTTTGAGTGCAGTTGATTGGTTAACACTAAGGTCTTTAAAGAGTTCGTTAAATATAAAAACGTGAATGATTTCCAAGAACAGACAGTACTGTGCATTCAATTCTGATTAAAGAGTCTTTTGGTTTTAAATAAAAATGCAACAGACACTCCACTGTTCCTTTGGCAATAAGATTCAGCTGGATCTCGTTTAAAATCAGGTATTTCCTTTGGTTTCTCTGGGGTTTAAAGCTCAGAAATGAGATCACTGCACTCTCTCACAGCACTTCTTGCAAACGCGAGAAAATAGAGAATACTTATTTAAAACACAGTGCCGGGGCTTTAGTATAGACAATACTTTACTAGAACTTAGAAACATCACCAAATACTTCTTCATTGTGTTTAAATCTTCCTGCTCCCTATAACATGGTGGGGCATCTAGTCCAGTATGTCTTCAGAGGGAAGGCTGGACCAGGAACCCCTTTAGATTGTTTTGTATCAGATACAGTAGCAGAAGCACAAGGAATCTGAATTCTCTGACTGTTAACTCATTAGACGCTCAGCCCTGTGCAGGAACGGCGCCTGCAGCTTGACGCTAGAGGCCCTTGGAATTCAGAATATTGAATTGAATTTAATTACAAAGCATTTAGGATGTTGTGTACAATCCTGGTCACCGCATTACAGAAAAGATGTTGCTACTCTGAGATCGGTCCTGATCTATTCAGGGGCTTGAGTGACTGTCCCACACTGACAGGCAGAAGGAACGGAAAGCCTGGGTTTGTTTACAGGGACTGGACTAAAATAAAAATGGGGATTTTCTTTCCATCGGCACAAACATGGGGATTTTCTTTTCCGTCTGCAGGAGCAGGAACGCCTGCCTGTGCAGGTGGCAGGTGCGCTCTCCGCTGTGGTGCGAGTGCGCGTGTGTGTCCCCTTCTCGGGCTCCCCAGTCACAAACTGCGAGGTGTCCCTGTCACCGCTGTTGGCCGGAGCCGTAGGAAGGCTTGTCAGCAATCGCCTACCTGTCCCACTCAGGCTCCGGAGTCCCGCAGGAAATATGGGAAAATGAGAAAGACAGAGCGCCTGACAAGGATCAAGCGCACTTCGCTTCCCCCATCCTTCCAGTGCCATCCTTTTGCCTTCTTCTCCATGATGTTAATAATAAAAGGGAATGTCAACCGATGGGACCTGTGCAGTGCTCCTGAATTTGGAAGGGACTCTGTGACTCAGTTTCTGGAGGAGATGACACTGAAATGAAATGGCTATTTCACAAATACTCTGCCAGACTTGAAGGTGGTGCAGCACTATGCAGTGCCAACATTTCCTTAGGGGAGGCTTTAGTACATGTGTTAGCGCTGCAGATGGCTTCTTACACGGACTGGCCAGACATTATCCAGGACTGTAAAAATATAAATAAAAAATATTCCAGGCACAACGTTTTTTTGCGTTTTGTCTTCAC